GCATTATGCCAGAGGAAGCGTAATTACAAGACACTCACCACAGATCAAACAGACCCATTTACATTTCCAGAGGGCCATACACTCGACTCTATCATACCAGTAGCTGTCTCTTATACACATCTTACCGTTATTTTTAAATATTGATTAAAAAAATTTTTTTTATTTTTTAATAAATCTGAGTTACGTAAATATGTAACACATATTTAATTTAGATTTGTGTAATGTTAATCTTACTAAAATATTAAATTTTTATAAAATCTTAATTTAGACTAATTCCAAAAATCGGCACATATGAATAAAAATAATTATTCTATGTCGGAATTTATGTTACCATGTTTAAACACAAATATATCAAGATCCACTAATCCGTTTTTTATAATTTTAGGCTTGTTGGAAAGCTCTTGTTCTGGACTTTATAGGCAAAAAAAGAGCTCGCAATTGAATCATTAGATTCAGAGATATTTACGTTTAAAGTTGAGGTACGAACTTTTTAACATGCTTAAATATTCATTTTTTATAAATTTAGGCTCTTTGGAAAGCCCTTGATCTGGTCTATATGAGCGAAAAAAGAGCTTGCCGATTGGATTATTGAATCTGAAGATATTTATGTTTAAAGTTAAGATACAAATTTTTAACATATATAGTAAGTACTAAGAATTATATTAATTTAAAAGAAATATTTACCAAATTATAGTATAATAAAATTAAATAAAAATTTTTTAATACTCATCCCCAATTTACTGTATATTATATAGTATTTTGTATAATAAAAATGTAATAAAATCAATATTTTAATTAAAGGTAGACAAATCAGCCCATATGTAAAATTTACACAGGTCGAAAAGTGAAAAATCAGGCATCAATCAGTCACCAATCGGTCACCAATCAGGTAGCTGATTGGTGACTGATTGGTGACTAATTGATGCCTGATTTTTCACTTTTTGACTTGTGTTAACATATAATTACTTTTAAAAGTTAGTATATATTATTATATAAAATATTTTATTTGGTATAACTATACTTGCCGCCTATTTTCCAAAAAAGGAAATTTAAACAATGATTTCATATTGATCTTATTGTTTAAATTTCCTTTTTGAGGAATGGGTGGCAAGTATATGTGTAACAGTCAATAATTCTATAAATAAATTTTACATACTATTTTATAATCATTTAAAATGATTGTACTTTAAATTTGGTTAAAATTAATTAATTATTGAAATACTTTTACTATTAATAACTTTTTAAAATTAGTTAAATTATAAATATTATAAAATATTTAAAATATTATTTTATTATAACATGTAATTTGCAATTAAAATTATATTTACATTAATATATCAATACATTGTATATAAATGGATTTTAACTATATAGATAGAGGAGGATATATTTGATTTGAAAAAAAGAAAAATTTTGAAACATAATGAATAATGGTTAATAGTATTAGAAAAAACAAAACAATATATAAACCAATTTATTAGAAAGGGAAACGGGTATTTTGAAAGGTATATAATAATACAAAAATATACAAATATAACATAACCTTTTTTTTTTTATCTAAAGGGTAATGAAAGCATATACTTAAGTCTTATGATATAGTGATCCTATATAATTCAATAGCTACTATTAAAGAATATAGGTGAATTTTATAAGATGATAGTAGGGGGCAGAAGCAATCTTATAAATAGGGAACTGGTTTGGAGTTTTAATAAATTAGTTATATAATAGATGTTTTTGTATTCTTATATATAATTAATAAACTCACAAATTGCACTACTTTGGAAAAAAAAAAATTGTATTTACAAAAAAAAATTAGAAATTATTTATATAAATTTTAAGTTTAAATTTTTTATATAAATATTGTATTAAAAAAAAAGGCATTTAAAATAAATTCTAAAAAACAAAAATATATAAAGTTTTTATAATATATAACTTAAGAAAATTTATGTTAATATAAATATAAAAAATCTTTATTTATTAGTAATTATAAGATTTCTAAAAAACATGATATGATCACTAATTAATAAGTTATTTAATAATATTAATTAGGATCATACTTTTCCAAAACAAAAAAGTTATTAATTTTAGAAATATTAAATAACTTTTACTTAAATTAGAATTGAAATGGATTATATATTACTTATGTCTAAAATTATAATGATTTGTAAAATTATAAGATATTGTTATAAAAGTTAAAAATGAGAATCCAAAGTGTTAGAACTTAAACATGGAAAATCTAAATATGCCATTATATAAGTAATAAGATTAGCTGGCGTAACCTCCTAAAAGATTTGATTAGATCGAATTCGCAGATCTTTGTTTTGATTGCAAAGTAAAATGGAAGTCCCAACTCTTTATTCAAATTATCGTTCTTCCTGTAGCTGGCGTATTCGTACAACTTTGAATTGAAAAGAAATTGGTTACGAGACAATTCCGATCAACTTACTTGAAGATGAGCAAGTGCGTGGTGTTTTGAAATAAATATATTTTACTCGCTAATAGATGCTTATATACATATATATATTTTTGCTTAAAAAGAAAACACTAGAATATACATCTATTAATCCGTTTCAAGTTGTTCCAGCATTGAAAATCGACGGAGTGGCTTTGACTCAGTCTATTGCTATTCTTGAATACTTGGAAGAAACTAGACCTGAAAAACCTCTCCTACCAAAAGATCCTATCAAGAGAGCTTTGGTACCAATATATATTATAAAAGATAACATTTTATTTTGACAATACTTATTCGACTTGTTTTTAGGTTAGATCGTTGGTACAGGCGATTGTAGGTGATGCGCAACCTATCACTAATTTAAGAGTTAGAAAATACGTTGAAGAAACACGCAGAGATGAATGGACTAATTATTGGGCGACTTTTTCTTTTCAACGTAAAAAATTTGGAATTTGAATTTTAAATTATATATATATGTATATATATATTAATTTTTGTATATTTAATCTTTCGTTGTAGGTATTGAAGCTCTACTTGCTGCTACAGCAGGAGAATATTGTGTAGGCGATGAGGTCACATTTGCGGATATTTGTCTCATACCTCAGGCATATAATGCTGCTCATAGGTAAGGGAATATTTAATATTTTATCAAAAAAAAATCACGATGTAAACAAGGTGAAGTGGTAATCATATTCAACTTGAATAATTTTATTAGGTTTAAAGTGGATATGTCAAATTTTCCCATCATTCAGCGTATTTACAATAAGTGTTTAGAATTGAATGCATTTAAAATGGCGCATCCGCATAGACAAATTGATTGTCCAGACGAATTTAAAGAAAATAAGTAAAATAATTTATGTTTATTGTAAGAGAATATAATTATTTTTTAAAAATTCTTAATCATTTTATATTAAATATGATAAGGTGAATTGATTCACTTGAAACAGTGAAAAGGGAGTTTGATCAACAGATATAATTTTCCGAAAATTCTTTAAACATTTTTCTTTTTTTATTCGGATTCATTTTTAAAACAAGTGCGAATTCTCCCGAAAATGCATGACGATCTTTTAAGTTAAAGAGGGCAAGAGTTTATTTTAAAAACGTGTATGATTCAAAAGCGTGAATGAATAAACAGACATATAACTATAAATATACATATATGAAGGCTGTGTGTTGTTCTTCATATTGTAAACAATAAAAGTAACTGATTTAATTATTCTTTAACCTGAATTGACACTTGATGTAAGACTAACAGACATTATAAAAATAAATAAAAAAAACGATTTGTTACACATGGAAATATTCTATGTTATATATTTTTTTCAGATTCGATTTCTCGAAATTTGAGATCTTATAAGAGGCTCGCTAGGGAAAAAAAAATTATTTTTTTTTCCTCGTCTTTGCTTATCTATTAAAATCTCTAATTTTCTCATGAAAAGATTTGAATTTAAACGAATTTAATCATAAGATCACACACAATAATGCAAGCTTTAAACGCTTTCCCCAATGAGACAGTAAATCCTTATCATTACCGTAAACAATCTGCACTTGGACTACCCTTCTCGATTCTTACTCTATCTCGCTTCTATACGAATGTTATCTATTATCATGTGGCGAAGTGTTTATGCTGTTACCCGGTTCCCTATAAGCAGAAAGAATTGTGTTACTTCAAATTCAGTCAGCTGTCAAAAAAAATTCAGGGTGCACAGGTACAGTAATTACGATAAATAGAAATTGTATTATATAATTTTATATTATATTATGTGATAAAATTGGTGAACATCTTTTTAGTGGGGTGAGAAAAAAAGAGACAGTCAAACAGACAGATGCATTTCATCACTTCTTCTCGAGAATTTGTAATAACTTCCTAATTTACCCCATGTATTATGATACCCCACTATCCATTTCATTCTAAAAAAGAAACCTTTTCACCCCCGCGCACATCTTCACTGATTAATCGTATGTAATATATGTAATATATATGTCATTTGATGATATACTTTTTACGCGTCAATATATCTGATATTTACATTATTCCATAATGGATGTTTGTTTATTCGGAAATATTAAGAAAAAAAACAATGTGATATAATAATTAAGTTAGATCTAAAGCGATTGCACCCCATAAATAATAAAACCTTATCATTTTTCTTGAACACAAATTGATCACTTGAGTATTTCGAATGCACGATAAAAATCACGCGGGATATAATACATTTCATAATGCATAGATCAAATACATATACTATAACAATATAAATATTATTAATTTCCAAAATTTATATTTTAAAATATCGATGGAACAACTATAAATACCCTCTCTCCTTGCTACGTTGTTCTAATTTCCCACACCTTTTTCTTCTTTTTTTCCGTCCATCGAAAAATTGAAGAAAGTGGTATCATTAAAAGGTGACGCATTAGTATTGAAAAGTAAAAAAGGAGTGTGTCAGCTCTTCCCTTTTTTCCTAAAAAAAGAAGAAAAAAAAAAAGAAAACGGAACGACAGTCCAACAAGAAGACACACTATATCAACTTTTTTCACTTTTTCATTACATATCACCAATTGTCGCTGTCCTTTAAAGCGTCTCTTGCCAAAAAAAAGAAAAGGAAAAAAAGAGAACTTAATTTATAAAAATTTCTTATTGTTGACGTGTATTATTCTTTTTTTTCTTTTTCTTTTTTTTTTTTTACATTTCCCTCAGATTTATTATTCGCTCGCTGATTCGAAATGGATCTTGATTGTGCTTGATTTGTGAACAAAAGACTCTGGTAATTATTAAAATGCAATTAATTAATTAAGTGTGATTCTAAAATTTTTTTTTCTTCTTTTTAACCTTTAGGGTGCTCTTTATTGCAGCGAAGAGTGTAGGTTTAATTCGGCATACACTTGTCTTACGCCTCCGATGTCACCTACTAGTACTTCTGGTTCCTCGACACCAACTGATAGTGGTAGCAGTACTTCAAGTGTTTCTATAGCTACGAACAATAGTTTCGTATATCCTTTCTATAGAAAGCCGTCACCAT